AGGAATTGTCTTTGGCAATCTTTGTCGGTTTCTCATCTTTAGACAATGTGACCCTCTCTCTTTTGCTTCCAACAACTACGCTTTTCTGATGGGCCGGCCTAGCAACCTTCATGGGCTCTGACACTCCGTCTTTTCTTTTCTCCCACGACAAGCTTCCCTCCTTGATTACCAAGGATCCTGTCTTCGACTGTAGTGAAGGTCTGTCCTCGAGAGATTTTCTCTGAGTACTCCTCGTGGCAGGCTCAACCACTTTCTCCTTCCCTTTTACCAAGGTTGTGGTTGACTGCGATCCAGAATATTTCCTTCCCTGTGCCCCTTCTAGGCGGGTAACACGACGATCCAACTCATCGAGTCGTTCAATGATACCTATCAGTAGCTCTGTAATCGATGTGTTTCCGGCTCCAGCTTGAGTATCTACGGGAGTGATTTGTATCATGGCTTGGTTGTTTTTTTCTTCCATACTTCCAAAGTTAAAGGTATCTCTCATGACGGCAATGGTCCTGTCTCCTGATGCTTCTGCAAAAATAGCAACAACGGGTCTTCAGTATTCATCCGAGTACCGAGCCACTTGGTCTCTCATCTGATCCTCGGCCCATTGTACCTTGTTAGCGAGTTTCGTGAAAAAATCAATGAACTCTTCCACATTATCCCCCATGAATAAAGGAACTCCCTTCTCTTGAGCTGCCAATCTCTCGGATAAGCGAGCGATCGCAGCCCGCACCATCTTCTGAACCTTGTTTTGGCGAGAGCTCGATGCCATCTCGAACTGTAGCTTCACTTCCCCTTTCCCTCCCTGTCGCCTCAAGGACAGTCATAAAAGAAAGAAAGGAAACCCATCAGTTTTCACTGAAGGCACGACTCGATTGACTAAACAAATCATCACCAGACAATGACGCAAAAATGTAATCAACTGAGGCGAGAGCGTGTCAATCCTTACCTCATTGAGACCCTTTGTATGAATTTCTTCAACTTCGATCCTGAAACCCAATCCCGTCTTCGAGCTCCGTTAAGTTCTTCGACCTCATACGCTTCGTGTTCCGATTTCTTGAGGATGCGATAAGGTCCCAACCACCTGTTATCCAACTTCCTCGACCATTGTTTTTCCAACGAAGAGTCATAGAGAAGGACAACATCACCGACTTCTAATGGTTCCTTGCGGACCCGCGGCTGTCTGTCCCATCTCTCCTTGTCTGCCCTTCTACTTGCTGCAGTCGAAGCGACGCCTCTCCAATCATTTCCTCCGTGGCCATGATCAGTCTGACCCTTAGGTCGAGTAACTCTTTCAATGAGAGGTTAGCCTCTAAGTCTTGCCTTTGTCATGTTGTCAGGAGACTCTCAATCGGAAAAGTTACGTATCGTCCAAACCAAAGAGTTGCCGGAGCATACCCAGTCGTCCTTTTTACGGTGATATTTTCGACAAACATTGTTGTCCGAAGGTACACCGGCCACCTAGAAGGTTCCCCAGCACACCACTTAGCCAACAAGTTTGTGAGGGTGGAGTGCTCCCGCTCAACAGGAGCGTTTGCCTGCGGATGCGCCCTCATGGTATATCGGTACTTAACGCCGAATCTCCCTAGAAGAGTTTGAACTTCTTTCGCTCGGAACTCACCACCGCAGTCCATCACGATTTCACGGATGAAAGGATACCGAAGGTAGTATTCTTCGATACACCCAACTAAAACTCTTCTGGTTCTTTCTCGTATTGCACAACCGTCGACGAATCCTGTCAGATTATCTCTTGCGTCAAAGATAAACCGATACCCATTCATTCCTAGCGGCATAACCACCAAGTCGAGGTGCACCACGGCTCCTGGTTCAGCAACGTACCGTGGGTGAAGGGGTTCGACATACTTATGGTTGGAGCATTCTTGACAAGGAACGCACAAATTGTAGTAATCCGTAACCATTTTACTCATACCGTCCCAGAAATAGAGATGTCGTAACTTCTAGAGCGTCACTCGAGCCGAGCAATGCCCTCCTGCAATCCCGTCATGGAGAGCCGCAATCACGTCTAATTGCCTCGTAACTCCACAAACGACCCTTTTTGGGATGCTGTCTTCGCTCTTCTTAAATAGATGGCGGTACCTAACCACAAACTCTTCACTTTTTCGACGAATGTCACCTTTCACACTTTCCTCGCGTATCTCCTTATTCAACCATAATCCGATCTCTCTCTATATCCCATCGTACTCATTTTTTCTAAAGCTCTCTTTCGTCCTACCGTCCTTGTCAGCTGGTACCAATGCCCGCAAGTCCTCCTCAATTAATGTGTTAATCACAAAACACGTCCCGCCGGACACTTTGAGGACCTCATCGGCATGTCGAAAACCTTCCTGAATCGACAAGGGATCTTCCGACAGTCGAATGTAGTCCGAGAGCGCAAGGCTCATCATCTGCTCACCGGACCTTTCACCCCATGGATCCTCATCGATAAATGACTCTTCTTTCACCAGCTCAGGATGAACTTGATAAAAGTTGGGAGCGTTCCACATAGACTTCCCTTGTCGGTAAAACGCATCAACCAGATAATGGTAAGAATTTATACTTAGCTAACCTTCCTCGATCTCCAGAAATCCGTCAACAGACACAGAGTCCTCTGCGCGGATCTTGGAGTTGTCCCAGCCGATTCTACTTAGCCCGTCTGCCTGATTCTTCACGCCGGCTATCCTCTCGACTTCAAAATCGAACATCCAAATGTACTTAAGCCATCTTGCGATCGTCGGATCGGAAGGGGAATAATTTCTTAATGACTGAGCCAATGCAGTCGGATCAACCCTCAAGACGAATCTTCGTCCGAAAACATAATTGTGAAAAAAATTTCGGCAATGAAGCACCGCTAAAGTCTCTCTCTTGAACTGGGAATAGTTTCGCTCCGTGAGGTTGAGGGTTCTACTTTCAAACCTTAATGGACGCTCGACCCCGCTCTCGTCCTTTTGAATAAGGACCCCTCCTAGAGCCGTAGGTCCTGCATCGGTTTCAATAATGAAAGGTTGCTCTGGGTCGTTACCGAAGCATGGAACCCCGAACACCATTCCTCCCTCGCGAAACTCAGCCTTTATGTCCTCAACAAGTTTCTGTTGATCCGGTCCCCATTCCCAATCTTGGCCCTTACGCACGAGCTTGCGTAAGTGCTCCACCCTTGCAGCAAAATGTTGGATGAAGATCCTCCAAAACCCACAAGTCCCGAGAAAACTCCTTATCTCACTAACAGACTTAAGCGGAGTAGGCCACTCTAAGATCTTATTCGTTTTCTTGGTATCCGGTCGACGACCTTTCTTGCCGCATAGGAATCCCAAGATCGTTGCCTCACTTATGCAGTGTCTGGATTTTACTCCTCTCACCATGAGATTATACTCCTTTAACTTAGCCAGAACTTTCTTGATGTCGTGAATGTGATCCCAAATGAACTTACGTACGCATGGTTTCACTTCAGATTCATCCTTCTCCCTTGGTCCTGGAATCGACAAGTCATCGATATATGGTGAGGTCACGTCCGGACAAAGCGATTGTATAACCTTCATCATATATCGTTGCACGATTGAGACGGCATTAGTCCAACCTTGAGGCGCGGAACACATGTGAACCAGCCCCCTAGGTATATGCATTGCCGTCATAGGTCTATCAGTCGTGTATGAGGGAAATTGATAATAGCCAGAATAAAGATCAATCAAGGTGATGCTGGGTCTACCGGCGCTTGCCTAAGACAATTGATCCGCGTTTGGAAGTCAACCGGCATCCCGAACCGTCACCGCGTTCAATCTCTGCAAGTCTTGTACCCACCGTAAGACACCGTTAGGTTTGACAAAACAAAACCATGGGGACGCATATGGTCCACAGGAGTAGTCGGCTACCTTCGTCTTGATTTTCCCATCCAGGTAGTCAACAACCTTCCGATGGTCATCCGGGTTAGGGTAGCGCGGCCCCCTTATATTCCAAGGTTGGTGTGGTACCGTATGTATTCTAATCATCGGGATTTTATCAACGTCTAATCTTCCCCTCTCATCGTCATTAAAAGCATACGACAAGTGTTCCCCCTTCATGACATCAATCATGAGGTTTTTCTCTTCCGTTGTTAGGAAACCCACTTCTCCAATGATCATCTCCTTAATTCTCTCATCGGTCAGACGACACGACTCGCTTTCACCTTTTTCCCTCATCGCTCTAATCCACTCTCTCTCCTCCTTGTAATACACTTCTTCGTCGTGGGTGACTAGGACGGGGACAGACTTGGGTTTGTCAGCTACTTTCTTATACCGCCATTTTGATCCAACTTTAAGTCTTCCTCCTCTAAAAAAGACCCTTGCTTGGCTTGGGGGATCACACCTTCCTCACCAACTGACTGGGTGCTAGGCCGGTATGTTAATAACATACTCCCCTTGCCACCACCTTCAAACACAATCTCAGTTAGCGTCTGTACAAGGTTTCGGTCGATTTCAGAGTGGGTTGAAACGAAATCCAGAGTCTGTGAGACATCGGGAAGAGCTAAGGAAAACTCCCTCGGGTTCTCCCCATCGTCCTCCCCATATGACTCTTGTTCTCTCACCAATTGTTCTGCTTCCTCGAAGCTATAGGATTCAGGATTCAACCTGTTCCTCGAATTTTTAGGCCCGGTGTTCGGACACTTGATCACCTCGACGAGTCCACACACTGGATCGCACAGTATTATGAACATCGTCCCATCATGCTTATTGATGATGATGGACTCTGATCGGCATAAGAATGATCGTCCCAACATCACCCCATGCTCAACCAGTGGCAACACGTAAAAATAAGACCGTACCTTTACCTTGCCGATCTGTATACTGACGTTACTGGCAGTTCCACAGAAGGGTGTCGACCCTCCGACGCCAACAAAAAATCCATTATCAGTGCGATCAATCTCAATTCCTAACTCTAGCGCCTCTTTTTTTCTTAGTATGTTCATCTCCGCTCCGGTGTCAATGAGCGCAAGATGTTGTGAAACACCTATCTTGATCATTATGTACCCAGTCGCCACGCACCTCCAATCCATTTTGCTCCCGCAGGAGTCCAATTTGCCTCAGGTGGGATTACCTCCCCTAGTTTAACCGTCATCACTTTTCGTCGAGTTAGTCTTTGCTTAAGCTCTTCCCGAATCTTTGACGAGGCTGCCAAAAATTCCTTGAGTGTTACGAAATCTCGATGGCTCTCAAGTATCCGGTCCACCATCTTCTCAATGTCGATCCCTTCCTCAATCGGAATCGTGTACCGATTCTTCTTCTTCTGGTGCTCTTCCTCTTCCCCCTCATCCTTTTCCTTATCTTGATTCTCATCTAGACATCGGTTTTGGGCACGTAACCTTGCATGACGCTCGTCCTCCGCCCTTAATTTTTCATCTTCCGTGTCCAAATTTTCTTCCACGATTACTACCGGCGCCTCTTGTTGCGCCTTCGCACTGACAACGGGCGCGACTCGAGGTTGGACTCCCTTCTTAATCTTTTGTGCTTGAGAGACTGCTGGTGACGTTCCTCTTCGGAGGACGGGTCTGTTCAAGACGGAACGCGTTCCCGCAGGGACCGTTTGAAGGTGGGACGATGACGGTCCCTCCGCACGTAATGCTGACAGAGACGCCGCCAAAGGAGCCACGCCCCTTTTCCCGTCGTGTCCACCAAGAAGAAACATATTTGGCACGCACGGCCAAACTCTTTCCATGTCGAGACCCAGTCTCATAACTTAGCCTCCAAATGCTTCTAAACCGCTTCTCGAGCTTTAAGCTTTTCCCATATCCCTCTCCTTTTCAGTCTTGCCCTTGCTAACATCAGGCCTACTAAAAATCGTCTGGCGTGCAGCCTCTCTAGACTCAAAAACCTTCATTTCTTCTTTCGAGGCCAACCGGTAAGTGCAGGACATGGTCCGGTTCATGCGTCGAAATGCTTCCTTCCTCATTCCTCTTTCTATGTATGAATCGATAAGGTTCCCTTTGAAATCGAACACCTCGCCTCGAATGTTCATGTACACATTCCGATCCTCCTCATCTTTAGCGAGGGTCTGACAATATCGAACACCGTGCCCTCTTTGTGCACAGTAGTTACAATTCCAATCCTTTTTACCGTAACCGCGACCACCAGAAGCTCCCCGACCACGCCCCCGACCTCCTCCACCTTGCGGCCGAAATTGTCGGGGCTCGGTATCTTGAGATTGTCTCTGGTGCTGATTGATAGTACCACAATTATCATTCTCATGGCCACTCTTATAGTTGGCTTGCTTTCCATTCGTACCTTGCCCTCCCCGTGTTTGATTCATGACCTTTCGTTCGGCCTTCGTCGCTTTCCGAGGAGGTTCTTCCTCTTCTTCTTTTTCACTACCTTCCTCGTCGGACTCTTCTTCCCTCTCTTTTCCTTTTCTCTTGCCGTCTTGTTGCCTCACCGTCAGTTCCTTGCCACACAGTCCCTCCTTCCTTATTTCTTTCATCATCATCCTAACATCTATAATCGCCTCGAACATCTCCTTATCCTTATCACAACTTACTAACTCCTCCTCCTGCATTTTCCTTTGCCTGCGCTGGAGATGATAGAGCATTTGGTCGAAGTCACCGACCTTAAGATTCTCCTTAATCTTATCCCAGTCGTACCTGGTAGTAAAACCCTTAATCAACTCTCTTTGCTCGACTTCCGTGAAGTTGGTCAGAAAGATAATGCATTTCGTCTTATTGGAAAGATCGGGAACCCTCTTAGCTACCTTCTCAAACCTCTTTAGGAACCCTTCGATTGTCCCAAATTTCTGCCGACTCACTTTACGAAGGTCAGAGACGCCCAACAATCCGTCTCCTAGCTGATATTTTTCCAGCATTCGCTCACATAATGTTTTCCAGATTCGTGTCCTACACGCCATCTCACCGACTTCTTCTGCAAGATCAACGTGCACATAGCGTTTTACTACTTCCAACATCTTACATTCAGTCCATTGACGCACATGAGCATTCAACTCATATTTTTCTAGCCAGTCCGTAACATTCTCCCCATCGAACAGAGGAACCTTAATTTTTTTAAACTTCTCATGTGACGTGGTGGTTTGTCGGATAAGCCTCGCGAGTTCCTGAATGTCATTGCGCCTCTCGTCGCCCAGACTATCGTTCTCAGCGAGGTTGGGGCTCCCCATCTTGAGTGAAGTGTCAGGAGGAACAACGATCACAATCAGATATGTAAGTCAGGAAATATTTTTAACAAACTCATTGCATTACGCGGTTTTCTGACCGATCGGGCTGGCCCATCCATGTTGAGTTGTTATTATCTCACAATCTCTCAGTCGTACTAGGGTCATTGTCACGATAATGTCACTTGTCCTTTCGAGAGGAAACCAAATCACAACCGAACCGCTTAGTTAAATAATAATACAAGGTAATTATTCGGGATTACCTTACCCGAGTGTCGTTCCACCAGGGACAACGATAGATAGCCGTCATCCCCGACAACGGCGTCACCTGTCGGACGCAACGCCCCCTCCCACTTCGCGTCGTGGCCCAAGAAAGGGGGACCTCCCGGCCGCATCACGCAGGAGTTTGATATTTTTCTCTTTAGAGTCGGAATGCTTCCCCCAAAATTCATCGAGGTGAACGACGGGGTTTTGCCGCTCTAGCCGGGTGCGCCAGTCGTACTTCTCGCGTTCCCCTACGACAGGTCAGGGTCCCGCGAGGCACAACTCGTCTTTCCTGAGGAGTTGTCACCATCCTCAGAGGCGTATCCCTACCGAGCTACTGATCTATATACGAAAGCTTTTATATGCAATCGCAGAGGTAGACCAGCCAGGGGCGTTTTACTCGTTTCACCGTAGTACAGACAATTCTTATAGGTGAATATAGGATGATCCCATCGAAGTCTCTCCTAGTCTTTTATAAAGACGCTTTCCGGTAGACAGTGTCA